TGGAAAGAGAAGAAGAGGATGACCACCAGCAAGATGGGGTGGACTTAAGGGTGAGAAATTGTGGAAGGGTCCAATGGAAGACTTGAAAGACCAAACTGGAGACAGATCCCGCTGGAGAAAAATCTATCCTTGTGGCTGCTAAGGGTCAACACTGACTTGGTAGCATATAATCAATGCATCAGATCAATCCATCCATCAGTGCAAAGATCAGCTCCTTTGAGAAGTCCATTATGCTATGAGAGGTGGAAGGAAGGAGAAGAAGATGACAATAAGCAGGGAGGTGGATGGCCAGGCAGTGATGGTGAAATGGTCATTAGAAGATCAGAAGGACCTGGTTGGGAATGGATCTCCCTGAAGAAAATCGGTGTGGCTATTAAGAATGGACTTTGTGACGCATAATCTATCGATCCATAACAAATGGAAGAAGTTGGTAAATTGGGACTTTGACTTCTGAATGATGACAAGCAGGGGTCTCCAACCTTGGCCACTTTAAGACTTGTGGACTTTGGGATCTGGCTGAGGAACTCTGGGAGTTGAAGTCCACAAGTCTTAAAGTGGCCAAGGTTGGAGACCCCCGATGACAACCACGGTTTAAAACAGGGAAGCTGTGCCTAAATTATGAACGTGACTGACTTTCCTCTCTCCCTAAAATGCACTTAAAGCATTTAAGCATTGTTTAATTTTTAATTTTGTTTCATTATGCCGTGGAATTTCATTAAGGAGAAATGCACCACTGGATGCATTAATCTATCTGGAACTTCAAAAATGATTTATTTATTTTTTAAAAAAAACAGGAGAGATAGAAAAAAAAATGGAAGAGATTCCTGCAGATGGCTTCCAATTTTGAGGGCCAATATTTTCCTACCATGTTTTATTTTCCCTACAGAGTAGGTTCTCCTTGAGCGAACGGTACTGTTTTACCAAATTTCATTCAGCTCACCGTTTTTGCTACTGATGGTTGATCCTTGCCTGGTGGGAAAAAAAAATCTTTCCGTTTTGCTTCTTGCTCTCCAAGTCTTGTCAAACCGTTAGGCCAACCTTGTTCCTTTCACCTTCCTCTTAAGGATTTCTCCAATCGCTGTCATGTTTTATTAGCAGGGGGTTAATTGTGCTTTGTACTAATTGAAAACGGCTCGGGCATTGCTTCCCAAATTGGCTTTAAAACGGAGCCAGCCACAATGGGAGGAGGGGAAGTGGGAGGGTGGTTTCTCGGATTTTGGGGAAACCTGTGATCGACCGCCCCCTTGCGCATCGAGTAGAGGTTGGTGGCGACTTAGGCGAAGCCAGGCGAGGAGATTTGAGTTAGAAGAAAGGACTTCGAAAGGAGAAGAAAAGATGGGTGAGGAGGAGGGATGTGACAGTTGCCTTCATTATGAAACGATCAGAGTGATAAGAGAAACGAGAGAGAAAGAGAAGGAACTGATTGAGAGGGTTAGTAAGAGATGGATCAATGGATGGATGAAGATATAGAGATATAATAGAAGAATAGATGAATAGACAGGAATGGAGCATAGGTAGATGATAAATAATAAATGATAAATAGCTGGATAGATAGATCAATGGATAGATGGATGGAGAGAGAGAGAGAGAGAGAGAGATTGGAGAGAGAGAGATGATAGATGGATGGATAGATAGATAGATAGATAGATAGATAGATAGATAGATAGATAGATAGATAGATAGATAGATAGATAGATAGATATTGGAGAGAGAGAGATGATAGATGGATAAATAATGGATGGATGGATGGATGGATGGATAGATAGATAGATAGATAGATAGATAGATAGATAGATAACCGTAGATCAATACTGGAGAGAGAGAAAGAATAGCTGGTGGTGTTTTGACTTTGTGTGACTTTTGTGTGCAGTTTTCCTGGTTCCTTAGACTTCCCAATCTATCAAAAGTCACTATATTTAGCCTTGGAAGAGTGATGATATGGATCTTTAATTCAACCAGATGACAGTCTCTATTTCCAATGCCTACTGTTGCTGATAATCAGTCCAAATACAAGGTAGGGTCCAATTTCCAACGTTGGTTGCTCCTACTTTTATTAGAGATTGAGTGACCCTGAATGGCTGAATGGAGAAGAGC